ATAACATATATTTATGTGAAAATAGGAATATGTCATCTCAAGCTCAAACAACACGCTGTAAAACTGTTTAAAATATCGGTTAACCTATAATGAATTAATACCCATCATCAATAATTTAAGATACTATAACTGTAATCAATTTGATTCGTTTGAATTAGTTTCAAATTTATTAACCACTGTTCCTACTCTGACAAGGTTTATGATCTATTTATTCCCACAAGGAAGAAGAAGGAACATGGAACTATATATAACTTTCACCGGTCCCTTTAAATTCTCTATTCTTTTGCGATTTCGGCCAATTACTACCACAACAATCTATTACTCCCACCACGAGAAAATGGGTCTTTAGTCACAAGTTGCAGTTGTGACTAAAGCCCAAAAAGTTGTCAATAAAGAGGTTTAATGATGACATTTTTGTTGTCGAAGACGTCGCTAAAGGCCTGTCATTAAAGAGTTCTTTATTGACAACCTTACTGAGTCGTCTATGTAGAAGCCAATAACGACAACAGGTAAGTCGTCACCATAGTGACAACTTTATCTTGTCATTCAACTGTAAGTCGTCACTATTTTGGCGACCTAAATTTCGTTGCTGTTATGACGACTTAAATTTACCACTGTTATGACAACTTAATTTTGTTAGTGTTATGACGACTTAAATTTATCACTGTTATGACAAGCTATGACAACCCAAATGTTACTAATGTAACAATTTGGTTGTTGTCGATCTAATGACAACTTAAAATGGTTATAAAAGGCTAATATAGTGATAACCAAACTTTGACATCATTTTGTAGTAATTTTCGGCAACCAATTAAAATGTAAAATACTAAATTGTAATCAATATAAAACGACATCTAAAAGTGATAATCATAAACATATTTATATACCAAAAATCCGCCACGCGACGGGACGGTGTACATATCAACTATGTCCAAATGGCTAGGCATTATCACTATACCAAAAGCCACAAAGTAGTGTAGTGTGCATGCTACAACTATACCGAAAAACTACAAAATAACACAACTACATACATGCAAGAAAGATCGCTATTTTCCACGTCTTCCAAGTCAAAAGAATGAAGCAAGTCTTCATTATAATCCTGCAGATCCACAATAAAACAGACAAAAGGAGAAATCTTGATAAGATTTCAAATTAACTAATGAGTAGTGATATAATAATAACTAGATGCTTGCCCCGGGCGAATGCCCGGGGTCAGTTAAATGACAAAAATAATTTATATGTTGGAATAAATACATTTTATTATAATATAAATGATAAAGTTATGTAAAAGGTCTCAACGAATATTATTCATTCAGGGAAGCAAGGAGATTAAGGATCTTTTATCTTAACACATAGATAGGGTTCTTACCCTGAATTTTAAAAAAAAAGAAAAGAAAAAAAAATATATATATATAAATATAAATATAAATATATATATGTATATTATAAATAGGTTGAAAGCTACGTTTTGGTAGTTCCATTTAAGGGAATCAAATATATATGCTCCAAATGCTAATTGAAATGCATTCCATAGCAATCTTGTGCGGGCTGATCTTGTTGGTTCATCCGCTTTTTGGCTTGTGTGTGCTGATCTTGTTGGTTTCATCCGCTTTTTTTCTTTCCTTATTTGGGAAAAAATACACTTCAAAGATGACAATGCCTGGGATTGAGTTGAACTTGAACATGGAAGACTGAATGAAAAATCAATGTAGAGATCATTCCAAATGCAATTTCTTGGTAGATGACAAAATTATTCTCAACACACAAGTAATAGACCAGAGTTGTGCACATTTAGAACAATAAATTTACATTATTTTATAATCCGCGAAGAGAGTAGAATGCATACTAGTAGTGTTCATTTTAATATTTCTCCTAAAAATTTTGAAAAAAATAGATGTGCAAAGTACCGGTAACAATACCTGAAGCAAATTAACCATCCAATCTGCACGCGGGTAAGCATATCCAGAACCCTCCATCCACCAAAAAAAAAAAAAAGGAGTTTTGATGCATTAAAAGAAATTGGACTTTATAAAGTCTTTTGGAGTAATCATCTGCATTACTGAGGAGTATAATCTACTTTATAAACTCTTATACAATGAGTCAGACCTTGAAACCAAACCATTGTCCCAAACCATATCTAAAAGGTGTAACTAATATAATGAAGAACGCTCAAAACTAACACATCATGAATTCCGAAACATTCCAGTGCTGCCCTAACAATTACAAACTAAGCAAATCTTTTATACGACATTTATAACTCAACAAAAAAAAAAAACATAAATCGTAATGGACATCAAAGATACGATCCATCTGCAACAACAAAAATCTGAGAACCCAATCCATAAAGGTAATCCAATCAATAGATTCCCACAAACAGAACTCATGGAAGAAAACTTCATCCTCTGCCCCAAAACAAAACCCATGGAAGATAGGTTCATTCCTAAAAACATACACATATTATAAATATGATAAACTAAGACTCATAAGTTAAAACTAAGACTTTTTGCAGAATCTTCTAGTTAAAAAACAACAGAATCACATGTATCATGTTGACAATGAAATTGCACATGATTGGCAAAAACATCTCAATCATAGTTTTTATCGCATTTATGCCAGAATTATAAAAGAAAAAATAAGTACTAAAATTTAATTCCAGCTACAGCATTGAAACTTGAAAGGGAATGATCCACCTGCTCCACAAACCAACAATGTGAAAAAAAATTCATTAATTACTAAATGAAAAATATGATGACTAATCACATTCGAGTGAGAGAGACTGAAGCTGTTGTTGTTGCTGCAAATCTTCTCCCTTCGTTGCAATTTGTCGCATTAACGAATGTGTTATGGAATTAGTCATCTCCTTCAACATCCATTCGATTTATTCACAATGATGCCGCAGCAGCCGCCAGTGCTACACGGTGGAGCAGACGATTCCATTATCGATTACATTTGAACGATTGTTCTCTCGTGCTGCTGAATTAAAGGAGAAGAAGTAGCGAAGATTTATGCCAATGTGAATTTGTAATGAGGAAGTCATTCATCTGGAGTAGATTTTAGTGTTTTACTGAAACGCGTTGTTGGAGCTAAAATTGGGGGAGCAGACCCTTATTATCTACAATATTATCCCCGATTTTGTTACTCCAGGATTTTCGATAAATATACACTGTATTTTTCCTCCCTCATTTGGTGGTGCAAATTAAATTTTTCCTCATTATCTTATTTACATTTAAATTTCCTACGTTTTCTTTAATATCTTATCATAATTTGAGGTAAAATTTTTTCTTTTGGAGATGGTTTAAGGCTGCCTTTTATCTGAAAATCTAGAGTTCCACGTGTAAGTTTTCATTTTGTACTAAAAAAGCCTTTTGTAGGGAAAATTTTCATTGTAAAACTGACATGTGTCCTTTTTGTTTACTGTTTTAATTAAGTACTATAGATAATAATATTTTTGTCACACTCACCTCCAAAAGACAGAGAGTGTCATTCATAGACAACCAACCTACAAGATACAAACACCAATGAGAACTCAACTTCCCTACCTCTTAAGCCATATTGAAAACTCAAAGGTAAGAGGTATACGATACTCAAAAGGATAAGTTAATATCATCACCAATATAAAAAAAAAAACTATATGAACATCAAAAATAATACAAAGACGCTACAAGTATTACTAATCTAGAGGATAAAAATAATTTAGTATCACATAAAAGTTTCTTATTATAAAGATCAACTCAACAAATAATTTCTTTACAAATATTCAGCATATAGACCCCGTAAACTACTAAGGTCATAAAGGTGCAGTGTGGATCCGACGTTAAGAAATTTCTTTTGCTGAACAGAATGCTTGAGTTTCGTGCTCTAAAAAGCTAAAGCTAATATGTCATTTTCCACATTATTTGAGTCAAACTTAGGGACAAGAATAACATGCTAAAAATGAAGAATTTCACCTCAATTAACATTGATTCATCACTCAAGTTCATTGTAAACACTTGGCAACTCAAAACTAACATCATTTCCAGCAGTGAAATTGAAATCACCAACCACTATATAAGAATGTTACAATTACTTAAGAATAGAGACACACTAGGATCAACTAAAACCTAAAGAATAAATCAAAAAACTAACAGATTAATGATTTAATCTCATAAATCAACCAAAAGAGACAAAGCTCAGCTCAAAGAAAAAACACTTAGACTCTTGAAAAATATAGCTGAACAGAATAACATGATGGAAAATTCAGAAATTAAAGTCACCTTGCTCTAAGTAAAAATGTCAAAAAAAGGAGATAGCATAATGAAACACAATGACAAAGCAAATAAAAAGTAACCCTTAGCTTATTAATATCATCACCAACATCCAAAGAAAACTATATGAACATCAACAACCATACAAAGTCACTACAAGTATAATTAATCTAGAAGATAAAAATAATTTAGTAGTAAGATCACAAAGGTCAGCTCAACAAATAATTTCTTAAAAAAAATTCAGCATATAGACCCCGTAAACTACTAAGATCACAAAGGTGCAGTGTGGATCCAACATTAAGAAATTTCTTTTGCTGAAACATCATGCTCGATTTTTGTGCTCTGTTAGAATTTTGTGCTCTGAAAAGCTGAAGCTAATCTGCCATTTTCCACATTATTTGAATCAAAGCGGCTTAAGGACAAGACAAACACGTAATAGTACTAAAAAAGTAGAATTGACCTCGATGTAGCAACCAAAAGACACAAAGCTCTGCTGAAAAAAACTAGAACCAACAGCAATAAATCTTGCAAGAGAAAACTAAACAGAATAACATGCTGGAAAATTCAAAAATTAGAGCCACCTTGATCTAAGAAAAAGAACAAAAAAAGGAGAGAGAAGAATGAAACAGAATGACTAATTCAACAAAAAGTAACCCTTAGCTTATAACAGCTTTAAAACTACATGAAATTAGAAATATAAACATACTCAAATCTCAGTTTATGAGAATGAGAATTAAATGATAAAAACTTACATTTTTACGCATTATGTTGAGCTTCCATGCGATTAACCCTCTCTAGTAAGACGGCCAAAGACTCTTTGAGCACTTCATTTTTAGCTACCAGCATTTTTTTCAGTGTTTCTTGTTCCACTGCCATCTTTTCTAACTTTGCATCTGTTTCTTTCCTTTCTTTTTCTGCCACATCAGCTCTTTCCTTTTCATGGTGAACTTCTTCAACATAATAACTTTTGGATAAGGCACGTCCAGCACTTCCAGGTAGTTTCCCAACTATTGCAATGCAAATCTCTTTAGGTTCATAACCGGCACTTTCCAAGTCTCTCATTTGACCCTAACATAAAAAAGCATAGCATTAAATTGAATATAAAATAGAAAAGAAAATCTATAAAGTCAATAATCATTGCACATTAGTTACCAAAGTTGTTTTTGATGTTTCCCCAGGCATAGTTCCTGTCTTCCTTGAGGTTCGACTATATTCAAATAAGTCAATAGGAGTTTTTTTTTCATTCCGAATCCTTTCCTGTTACAGTTATCAAGAATGTCAAAGAAAAGTACATTTATGTTGTGACTACAATCAAGAGTGAAACAAATAATTGAGCACTACCTGCTGCTCAGCGAACCTTGCAAGAATTCCCGTAAAGTTTGGCTCTTTGTTTTTGGCTCGATTCTCTGTGTTGCGCTTACTCATTGCCTAGTTCAGTTCAAATGATAACCATAATTTAACTATTAGACATAATGATAAATTACAAATTATCACTTAATCCACAAAAGCATCATATCTAACCTTGAATTTTTCAGAAGTGAAATAATTGCAGAGATATATCCGCTCTTCCTTGGGCAGCTCATCAGGTACTTGTCTTAATGCTTCCTCCTTTGATTTAAATGTTTTGAAGAGCCGACTATGCTTATGTCAGCAATTTCTGTATGTTTATTGACTTGCTGTTCAACAGCTTTCTTCATCTTTGCATCCATAACATCATCAGGAAACTTAGCCTACAAAATGTGTTAATAAGTACTAGTTAAGTTGACTGGGGTACATGTTTAAAAACCAACCTAATTACTTACCATAACCCTTTGGCACATGGCTTCTCGGTCTTCCTTTTCCAGCTGAGACCATTTTGGAACATTGTGCTTCCCAAACTTGCGAGCAACAGCACTAGATTCATTGATGAATGATTGTGAATCAGGACCTACAACACGTTTGTAACAATCATCGAGTTTAACTTTGTGTGGAGCATCATCATCATTTTTACGCCCACTAAGGTTTCTGGTTGGTCCTCTTTTACCAAATGTAGATGATTTTGCTGCATTAAGCATTACAAGGAGCCAATGATTTGAATATATGATGAATGATTACTTGTAAAATTTTAATGACGCAATCTCAAAACCATAAAGATGTATAGGCATGAAAAGAAACAAAGTAGAAAACTGAAATCAATTAATTACTAACCTGAACAAGCAGACATGGGAGTCAAGGGAATATCTGAAAAAAAAAATGATTCCAAAAAACTAGTACTTACCTCTCAAAAAAATTATAAATTAAAAGATAAAGGTGGAATCATTGACATTCTAACCTGAATCGCCTGCCAAAGGTGTCTCTGAAAAATAAGAATCAAACGTACACTTATTAGACAAAGGAGTGTCTGAACAAAAGAAGCAAAGGTAAACATAAAAGAGTTAAGAACTTGAAAATCACCTTCATCATTTTCATCTCTTAAGTGAAAAGGTGAAACACTTGTTGAAACATTATGCTCAGTGGTTGAAGTAGACATTCCTTGAGCTGATTTCTGACCTTGGGATGATACGGAATCTCTAAGCCCGAGAGACTCAAGTCTTCTTTTCTTCACTAAAGGTTTTCTTCCCTTGCCAGGACCTGTCTTCTAATAACCAAATTTAAAAGGGATTAGTTTATTAAAATCGGAAAGAAATGTTAAGTTAGCATAGCAAATCATTTAACCATTTATTCTAAAGAGCAAAACATATATATCACATATAGTTCAAATTGTTTAGACCAAACACAATTAAACACTTAGTTCCATACAATTTATTACAACAAAATTGTAAATTAGCTAGGACTTAGTCCTAACTATCATCATCAACATAATCATCATCATCCGTCCACAACCCTTCATTTTCAACAAAACCATTAGCTAGAGCTTCATCACCACAATCAACATCACAATCTTCATCATAAATAAATTCATCATCGTAGTCATTTTCAATACAAGTCTCTGCAGTGGCAGCATTCACAATTGTGGCATCAATGCTGTTAAGTGATGGTACATCCCTAACAAGTTGTGGAATCTCTCCAAGGTCCACACATAAAACAAATCCTGGTTCTTCTTCTTGGATAATCTCATCAACCGCTCCTTGTTCAGATTCAAGAACTTCATAAGAGCTACGAGGATTAGCTTTTTGAACCACACACCAATCTTTGCCTAACTTCATGTCATCTGAAAAAAACACTTGTTCAGCTTGTTGAGCAAGCACATATGGCTGCTCTGAATACAATGTGCGGGAAACATTTACACTAATAACTCCCGACTCTTTATCTACTTGCATGCCACGGGCATCACCCAAATTAAACCACTCACATTTAAACAACAACACCTTTTTTCTTCCTAAATAATACTCCACTTGAATGACATCTAGTAAGACACCATAGAAGTCAATAGTATTATTTCCATGTTCCCCTTTAACTACAACACCACTGTTTTGTGTCTTCCGATCACGTTCACGACTCTTTTGTGTGAAACCTAAAACCATTAATCAAGCACTCACTATATCTTCTAATGCGACTATCCAGGCCCAATGCCAATGATCTGATTTCTCTTCACATGTGTGAAGAAGATTTAAGAACCTGTCAACCGGCAGCCAATGTTAAAAATGTTATAATTTTGGATATATCTTAAGAATCACATATAGTACACAAAATGGTGAAAACCAGCTTACTTGTTGTCGAAACCATGCTGGAAACTCTCTTTCATGACGCTGATCTATGTTAGCACTACATTCTGCCTCAAGTTTCAGCTTGTGTTTTCTACAAAATAGCGTAACCAAATCGATTAGTAGAAATTTTCGCAGCAAATAAATCAAGTAAAATAACTCTATCTTTTCAAATTATGAACTGGAACATTACGTGATGTGTTCTTCAATCTCTTCATCATCAGTGTTATTAAGAACAAATATATGAACTTTATTCAGCTCCAAATCACTTATATCGTCATGCTTTGGTCAGCCAAATGGCCTCCCCTTTGAAGAAAACACACACAATTCACCACTGGCATCCTCCATTTCATTACTCAATATATTTGTCAACAGTATGCGATTACTCAATATATTATCAATATATCATATAACATTATAAGTTAATTAATACTATATTACTGTTCAGTTCATTACAAAGGTAGAAATATATATATCGGAAACTTGATTATCAAACAATAAAGCACAATCTCATATTCTGAAACAAGCATCTTACATTAAAAAAAAATGTCTTTAATCACAAACTGAGGAAATCCTTCAACAAGTAAAGCTAGAAACCATCCCAAACGACATGAATTCCAATTTGAGAAACACCCAAAGAGACATTACTACTTAGGGGCATTCAAGATGTAACTAAAAGTCACTAGTTGTATGGTCATTATGCTTCTGCCCGTGGGAAAGAACAAACAATGAGGACATATTAAAGTAATCGATGGTCAGAAGAGGCACGAACCTTAATAGAAATATCTCACTTCTACTTTTTCCCCTGATAAGGTGGAAGGATAAGAATGCAGGCAAAGTTCTAGTACTCCTTGGAATGCTTTTTCCTGCATAGAGTCAATATATAAGTGCCTTAAATATCTAATCGTTGGAAAGATTATCTCATGTAACATGAAAATAATGCATAAGTGTTTTCTTTTTTAAATCGGCTCGAATCCAGACTTTACGATTTGACATCAGTTTTACATTACTCCAGCAGACATCCGGCAACCATGAAAAAGAGATTCTATGGATACATACTCTAGTAGACAAATGAAAAATATGTATAAGAACATCTGTCCAAAACTCCATATAGAGTCCACTTTGAAGATTACAGAAAGAAACAAGTGGTGGCATGATCATATGAAGCAATAAAGTGAAAAGCAACAAGTTCAGCGGTACAAGGATTCAGCATTGAACTCAACAAGGATAAATATAGCATTTCCTCTGCCTATGGTTGAGATTAAAGCTTAAATAGGTTGGTTCAATGGCACACGAATAATCGAGTATATATAAACTAAAAGAGACCAATAAGCTACATAACTTCCTTTACCTTACTTCTGGAAGTCCACTAGAAATGAGAACAGACAACATCAAGATAAGAAATGTCTAGCCTTAAGCTTAAAGATCCAATCTTTTTGTGCATATATCACATAAGATGAAACAAGGAACTGGGTGATAACTGCACAAATGCTAATTCACGAAGTGTAGATATACCTAATTCAACAAGGATACACAAAAGAAACTTGAAAAATTGCAGAATTTTTTCAAACCCTATACACATTACATTCAAATTATAAATAATTTTGAAACTGCAGAAAAAAAACTGATTTGAAAAGATCTAATTGAAGCAAAACTAGATCACCCCAAAAAGAACAGAGTCACCGATGAGAAACAGCAAAAATATCCGGAAATCACAAAAGAGCATTACAGTAAATCTAAACTTCAATATACAGAGATTTACAAGGAACACCCAAAAATAATAATTTCCATTTGAAGATAGCCATTATTCCTCTTTTCCAAAAAAAAAAAATTATAAATGCTTACCGTATTTACCAAAAAACGCAGAGGGGATTGCGCGATTAGAAGTCTGATACTTGGAGTAAACACTAGAGGGAAGTAACAGAGCAGATGGAGGACGATAAGAAAAGGAATCAATGATGAGCTAGCTCCGGTCAGATAGGGAATTCACAATGAGGTTTTGCAATTGACTTTGGAGGTTTATTGACTATGGGGTACTGAATAGAACTATGGGGAGACCGCCGATTAGCTGAAAACGGTCAGCCGTCGATGAGTTGAATTGGAACGGCGAGGGCTTCTCCCAGTAGTTGATTTTGGTGGAGTTTTTGGTGGAGTTTGGGAAAAAATGAATACGCCGGCCTGTTTCGAACAAGAAAAAAATTCATTACTTAGCCAAAAAGAGGGACCAAAAAGTGTGCAGTGGCCTCGTTTCTTGTGAAATTTGGTCTGCCCCCTTTTCCCTCCATATAAAATATTAAGACAAATTTCCCTCCCAACTAAACTATACAATAGCCCGTCCACTTTTTTGCTCAACTATGTTTTGTTTTTCCAAATTTTTTTTATTTTTCTTTCCATTAATGAAGTTAATTTTTGTTTCCAAAATATTTAAATAATATTTTATTCCAGCTTTTTTAAAACAAATCTTTTTTCCAGTTAATAGTATTAGTGGTCTCTTTCTCTTTATAGCTCAACTAATGTACGTAATTTATTAGTCAACTTGTTTAATTGCTTAATTGAGGCTACGCCGAGTTGTTAAAACAACCTGTTATTGTAAAATCATTGCTAGCACATGACTTAATCGAGTTTGCATACCAACAAAATGTAGTCGTGTAAACATTAAGCTTATGCCTGCTACTTTTTTAAAAAAAAAAAAAAATTCCAAACTGGACAATCATTATGGGACTGAAATAGTATATATACTTAAGAATTTAACTACAAGATATTTATATTTCAGTGTTTTAACGATTTATTTTACTAGAGTTAACGATACGTGTTTAAGTCCAAGTTCTGTAAAGAATTCATATATTAGGATGGGGTGTGCATGGCTCGGTTAAAATTGGCTAAATCGGTCGTGCCGGTTAAATTTGACCACTTTGGAGTACGTAAAATTGAAGGTCAGTAAGGTTTATTTTTCATTATTTGATCTGATTTCGGTCTGATTGTGAAAACGATGATTTAGACCAGACTAGACTGTATATATATCATATGTATGGTATGGAGACACACATTTTGCCCATACATACTTAATTATGTGTGTGTATATATATATATGTATGTATATGTGTAAAAATATATTTATATATTTATATATATGTATATATTTGTCTATATGGACACGGTTACACACTTAAATATATATAAATTTATTTATTATCTTTTAACACAAATCATCAAGTGTTCTATCTGTAATATGGTTTCTTTTACATTAAATGATCTTGGGTTTGAATATGCCCAATGCTACTTTTAATTTTTTTTTTTCCTTGGGCCTCTTGGGATTAAAAATATGGGCAATAAAGCACTTTTAAACTTATTCTTTTCATGGGTTTTTATAAAACAGATAGCAGGCTTTTGGGGTCTGAAAATATGGGCTATTTTTAAAGAAATTATGTAGGTTTTAAGAAATGGGCATTTAAGGAATCAAAATGTTTAATTTTAAGAATCTTTTTGGGCTTTATGAAACAATTCGTGGGCTTTGGGGATAAAAAAATGAGAGCCATTATATTTTTAACAAATAAACTTGGGCTTGTCAAGAAATAAAAAAATTTAGACCATTATTAAGAGATATAAATTAAATTTTTAGAGTTGAAAATTTGGACTTCTAAAAAGCCCACTTAGGCCCCAAATTGTCTAACCCAGCTTGACTAAGGGTATGTTTGATAAAAATTATTGCTTAGTTCTGATTGCTTAATATTGAAACAGAAATACTGAATTTATTAAGCAGTTAAGGAAAAAGTAATAAGCTGACTTTTATTACTTACAATTTGTACCTCAGTTTCAGCACCACTTATTTCATTAAAAAGTTTCATTTTTTGTCATCAAACATGTTGAAACAAAAAAACAAAAACAAAAAAACTTAATCCACTAATTTTAAGCATTAAGTGATTTTATCAAACAAGCCCTAAATCGGTTACAAATGATTTGACAGTTTAGTCCAACGTTTTTAAGCAGTCTATTTGGCAGGAAAAATCCTGAACCAGACTATTAAGTTCGGTTTCGATTTATAAACGGTTTGGTCTAATATTTTTAAACAGCTTGTTTGACAGAGGAAAATCCCGAATGAAACTATTTGGTTTTACCACAATTTTTCTTCTTCTAAGATGCCAGCGCATGCCATCTATTACAATTACTAACTACAACATTCCTTCACATCACCGCTTCCATTCTTCAGTGACAACATACACTTGTCACAGCAAAACGACAAAGGAAAATCGTCAATATTGATTACTCTACCAACAAGGCAAAATGTTGTCATTAACATGTCGTCACTAAAACTAGTGACAATATATAGATCGTCATTATAGGGTCAGGTAGTGACAAGAATATTAACTTGTCATTGAGGAAAAAAGTTGTCATTAAACCATAGCTATAATGACAATATTTTAGTGACAAGATATCAACTTGTGACTAAACCTCCAGTTTCTTGTAGTGTCCCTACGTCCCATAATTACTGAGCAGTTTGAGAT